GAAATGTTAGTGGAAAAAAATAAAGAAACGTGAGAAAAAAAAGGTGTTAAACTTGAGGGGAAAATGGCGGCAAACGTGAGGGGAGAAAAGGGCGGGAAAAGTGAGGGGCGAAAGGGCGGGAAATGTGAGGGATAAAAATGGAAAATGAGACACAAAGCCTGGCAGGAAATGTAAAGGGAAAAATCAGTGGGACACGTTAGTGGAAAAAAAAGAGTGAAAAACACAAGAAAAAGTGTTAAAATTGAGGGGACAAAATGGCGGCAAACGTGAGGGGGGAAAAGGGCGGGAAACGTGAGGGGGGAAAAGGGCGGGAAACGTGAGGGGGAAAAGTGGGAAATGTGACACAAAATGGCAAGAAACGTAAAGGGAAAAATCAATGGGAAACCTTAGTGGAAAAAAAGAGTGGAAAACACAAGAGAAAGGAAAAATTAAAATTGAAGGAAAGTTAAAATTGAGAAAAGGGTGGGAAACGTGACCGCGTGGCAGAGCTGAGCAAGGGACGCATCACAGAGGCCATCAGAGACTTTTAGTGTAAAAAATGGCAATAACAGCACCAAAAGGGTCGATAAACCCCCCGTGTTTCATTGTCCCCATTTGTGGGGGCAGGAGTCACGGGGTGGGGAGGGGACAAAGCAGGGACCCTGTGTCCCTCCAGGTGTTTGTGTCCCTCCAGGTGTCCATCCATGGCTGGGGTGAGGTCACAGTCACGGAGCCGTGGAATGGTTTGAGGGCAGGGACCCCCCCCCACTGACCCAGCTTCTCTGGGAATGCCATCCCAGCCCCTCACGGGCAGGAATTTCTCCCCAAAATTCCACCTCGACCTCCCCTTTTCCAGCAGGAAGCCGTTCCCCGTGTCCCTCTCCAGCTCTTGGAGCCCCTCTCAGGTGTCCTTGGATCCTTCCCTTCTCCAGGTGGGACACCTGCACTCTGTCCACGGCCTCCTCTGGACTCACGGCGTGGTCCATGCGTCCAATCCCAGTGCCCGGCTCAGTTCCAGAACGTTCTGGGGGTGGCATCGGGTCAACGATGTCATCACCCCCCAGCCCCAGAGGCACCGAGCTCCGTTCGCCCTCCGTGACGCCGCGTCGGCCATCGCCATCCTCGTCCCGCCGTTCCGGGTGCCTCAGCACAGTTCCCAGCGGGATTGGTTCCATGATCCTGGCGCTGCCCGGAGCTCCGAGGGGCTCCCCACGCCCCCCTTCCATATTGGGGATGTTCTGGTCCCCTTTCTCCTGTCGCCGGGAACGTCCCCAAAACTTCCCGAATCCGACGCAGAGCGTCTCAGCCGCTTCCTCCAGGCCTCACCCCGGCTGCTCCACCAGACCCGCGGGCAACGAGGAGCCCCCGGGCCCGCCCTCAAGGCCCTTCGAGGGGCAGGGACCACCCCCCCCTCACGCCGTGTGAGCGGGGCCAGCACCCGCAGCGTCTGGCCCGGGCCACGTGCCCAGTCCAGGTTCCAGCGGCGGCCCCGGCGGTGGCCCTGGGGGCAACCCTTGTGGTGGCCCAGGTGGCGGTCCCAGTGGTGGCCCAGGTGGCAGCCCCGGTGGTGGTCCCAGTGGTGGCCCAGGTGGCAGCCCTGATGGTGGCCCCGCTGGCAGCCCTGATGGTGGACCCAGTGGTGGCCCCGCTGGCAGCCCCGATGGTGGCCCCGGTGGAAGCCCTGATGGTGGCCCAGGTGTCAGCCCTGATGGTGGCCCCGATGGTGCCCCCGGTGACATCCCCGGTGTCGGCCCCGCTGGCGGCCCCAGCGGTGGCCCTGGCGGGGCCACGGGGTGGGAGGCGGCGGCGTGGCGCTCCAGGAGGGTGCGGTGGGAGAAGCCCTTGGTGCAGAGGCGGCACTGGAAGCGCTCGGGGCGGTGCGTGCGCATGTGGACGTTGAGCGAGCTCTTCTGCGTGAAGCGCTTGCAGCACACGGCGCACTGGAAGGCGCGGACGCCCGTGTGGGTCACCATGTGCTTGAGCAGGTAGTCCCGCAGCGAGAAGGAGCGCCAGCAGATGGAGCACTGGTGGGGCTTCTCACCTGAGGAGATGCAAATGTGGGGTGGCTGGGGTCAGTGTGGGTCAGCGTGGGTTGGTACTGGTCAGTATGAGTCAGTACAGGTGTGGATTGGTACCAGTCAGT